AAATTAAGCACTAATCCTCCCCATGAATGCAAAATAATTTTTTTTTTTTTTTTAACAAACTAGCCATATCCCACCAAGGCAGGGTGACCAAAAAAGAAAAAACAAAAGTTTCTCCTTTTAAATTTCATAATATATACAGGAGATGGGGTTACTAGCCCCTTGCTCCCAGCATTTTAGTTGCCTCTTACAACACATGTGGCTTACGGAGGAAGAATTCTGTTCCATGGAGAAAATACAGAATTATTGTCACTATTTCAGTACTGAACAAATGTAAAAATACTACCATGACCAATACTATCAGCAAAAATTTCATTATCAATATCTATTAAGATTAAAACAATTTAACTTAAGAGCTAAAATGAGAATTAAAGCAGTTATTGACTATATTTCAAGCATTGTGGGATGCAATTGTTGTATGTGAATGTTATCCTCATTATTATTATAATCAAGGAGAAGTGCTAAACCCGTAGGATTATACAGCACCTGTGGGGGAGGGGGGGGGGATGATGGAAGGTATTCAGGCTTAATTCAGGGAACTGGAGCACAGATCCAGTTCCCTAGATCAAGAGCCCCTCACCAGAATCAAGAAACCTTCCTTGAGGGGAACATTTTCCTCAGGCCCAGCTGCTGTAGGTCAACACGCAAAGTAGTGATGTGTTCATGCAGCACTATGAGGACATACATTTAATTTTTTTTTTTTTTTCAACAAGTCGGCCGTTCCCCACAGAGGCAGGGTGACCCAAAAAGAAAATACTTTCATCATTCAACACTTTCACCTCACTCATACATAATCACTGTCTTTGCAGAGGCGCTCAGATACAACAGTTTGGAAGTCCCTCCAAACTGTCAATATCCCAGACTCCTCCTTTAAAGTGCAGGCATTATACTTCCCATTTCGAGGATAAGTCTGGCTAAATTTATAATACAGTGGACCCCCGGTTCGCGAAGTCATCGGTATCCGATAAATCCGGTATCCGAAGCATTATATCACAAAAAATTTGCCTCGGTTCCCGTTACAAAACCCAGTATGTGATACGATTCGTACAAGACGTGTCCACGTGTGGCCTGAACTGCCCCGTGTGTGCCAGTGTTTACAAGCCAGCCAGTGTGCACACATCAAAGGATACATTCGGTACATTCCATATTATCCATATCACTGTTTTTGGTGCTTGTTTCTGCAAAATAAGTCACCATGGGCCCCAAGAAAGCTTCTAGTGCCAACCCATTGAGACCAAGGGTGCTAATGACTATTGAAATAAAGAAAGAGATAATTGCAAAGTATGAAAGTGGAGTGCGTGTGTCAGACCTGGTCAAGTTGTATAGTAAATCCTAATCAACCATCTCTACTATAGTGAGCAGGAAAATGGCAATCAAGGAAGCTGTTCTTGCAAAAGGTGCAACTGTGATTACAAAACAGCGATTCCCCTTCTAAACATTAAAAACTTCGACACTCTCCCCTCCTCCCATCCCATCAATCATCACCAGATCTTCATTAAAGGTAAGTGTCAATTATTCTATTGTGATTATTCTATTGTTATTATTGTTATTGTAATTATTCTATTGCATTAAACTTAATATTTCATGTGGTAAAAATTTTTTTTTCATACTTTTGGGTGTCTTGCACGGATTAATTTGATTTCCATTATTTATGGGGAAAATTGATTCTCTTTCCGATAATTTTGCTTTACGATGAGCTCTCAGGAACGGATTAATAACGTGAACTGGGGGTCCACTGTAACTGGTTTCCCTGAATCCCTTCATTAAATATTACCCTGCTCACACTCCAACAGCTTGTCAAGTCCCAAAAATCAGAAACCAGAAACATGAACAAAGTGATACCCATTTGCTTCAGTATCCTCATCAGGGTCTACTCCTTTTTCACTTGCAATAGTAAGGAGCAGGGTCAGATGTATACTTGCCTGCTAACTTTAATGTTTTTTTCTAAACTACACACAATGGTAGTGGCATTTATGGTCATGCCAACAAGTTCATCTAGCCATTCCTATAATGTGATGTGCATGCCCCCCCCCCCCCCTCACTTGTTTGTAGGTTAGGAAACAGTCTATGGTGTAACTAATGGTTGCAGCCCCCTATACCTCACTTCAAACAAGCTGCATGAGTACAGTTGGGAGACTACTATGGTAGTGAGGCAGTGAAGAGATGTATTAGCTCTTCATAGAGGAATTGGTGGGACCAAGAAAAGAAGTAGGGTGTGTACAGAGCACCCCAACTGTAGGTTTTAATTACTACCAAGCTCAGCAAGGAAGGCATGCAAGAACAAGCAGCAAAATAAGGAAATGATCACTGACTATGTAGGACATTTACTTCTGTCCAATTGAATTCTGTACCACGGGTGGACAAATTTCAACTTGAGTGAGTGGATGATGTTGAAATTCTAATTTGTTTTTGGATGTCTGAATCATAGTCTGTGAAGTCTTGCTTTACAACTATGCAAGGGATGACAAAAGTTCCTCAGTATGAATTAAGCACTGAGTCCCTTCAATCACTGAAATCCTGCCAATGGTGCAAATATATACTATTAGGTTATCAACTTCGTCTGTATCAACGACTGACAAGAAGCTTGCACAAGTGATTGCCCAAATGCGATTCCAGGTGCTGAGGTCAATCAAGTTTCATAGTCACTTGACTTCCAGGACAGAGCACTGATGTCTCAATTATCTCAACATAAAATAGAGGAAAGGAGGGGAAGGGAGCATTTCCAAGCACAGCTCTGAGAATAAGGGAAACTGCTAGCTCACCCTGAACCATGATCAACTCTGATGCAACAGGTAGTGCTGCTGTTGCCTAGAAACCACCACTTTCCCTACCTGGTGTGCAACACCAAGATAGTACCTGTGCAATTGTCTTTTGGCTAATAGTGATAGATCACTAAAAATAATGCCAGGAGTCACCCACTTTTGGTTCCCACTCCTAAATCTGTAAGGTAAACTCCAGTAGCACATCCATCATCAGAGACTTTGGCAGATGATGACTCCCCCTCATGTCTTGCAGGACAGTCACCTAACACATCATAAGATGATGCAGTTTCCATTGGTTGAGTAAATCGACAACCACAGCACTTCCAATGGAAGCTACATTAGAAGCAGCTGACAGTAAGTAGGGAAAAATCTCCCCAATAAGATCTAAAGGAGGAAGGGGTTGGGATATTTAGATTTTATCTGAGAAAGGAGAATAAAGATCCAATTTCATGAGTCAATAACCCGTTTACCATAGCAAGGAATTTTCCCTTTGAAGGGGCTGAAACCACATGTGCCTGAATCTGAGGGTAGGAAGAAAGCAAGGCCATGGCTGACAAGTACAGTGGACCCTCAACCAACGATATTAATCCGTTTCAGAGAGCTTATCGTTATACGAATTTATCATTAGTCGAATTAATTTTCCCCATAGGAAATAATGGAAATCCAATTAATCCGTTACAGACACCCGAAAGTATGAAAAAAAAAAAAAAAATTCACATGAAACATACATTTTCCTACACAGGAAAAGAAGGATACATGCACAATAAATACTGTACTAAATGAAGAATAAATGACATTTACCTTTATTGAAGATGTAGTGATGAGACACTTTTTCTTGAACACACTGGGATTTTTAGTGATACATGAGTAAGGTCTTCACTTTGCCATCCCCACTAGCATTACAACAAAACATGAGAGTTAGCCTGTCTTTCATAGGCTTGTGTCCTGGGAATGCCTTTTCCTCCTGAGTAATGTAGGTCCTGTTTGGCACTTTCTTCCAAAACAGGCCTGTTTTGTCACAATTGAACACTTGTTGGGGGACGAATTTTTCAGCTTCGCCATACCTTATCACACTGTGTATGCAACTACGATTCTTAAATCTCTCAAACCAACCTTTGCTGGCCTTAAATTCACCAATATGAGCACTAGTTCCAGGCATTTTTTCCTGTTCACCTGGGTGTTAGTCGGCTGGTGTGGGTCGCATCTTGAGGACAAGATTTAGGACCCCAATGGAAATTAGTCCTCGATGACACACTGATTTTTCATAGATTATCCTGGGTGGCTAACCCTCTGGGGTTAATTGTTTCTCGGTAATTGTTTCTCGTTAAGCCACACCAACAACAGTGTCTCCACATCTTCGAGTAGTACAGCTGACGGTGGTGCAGCAGCTGACCATGGTACAGCAGCAGAAGCAGCTGACCATGATACAGCAGCAGCAGCAGCAGCAGCTGACCATGGTGCAGCAGCAGCTGACAGTGGTGTAGCAGCAACTTACCATGGTACAGCAGCAGCTGACCGTGGTACAACAGCAGTAGCAGCAGCTGACCGTGGTGCAGCAGCAGCTGACCGTGGTACGGTAGCATTTCAATAGTATTTCTCATGCTTTTTACCACAGGGTTGCCACTAGAAGCTTTCTTTGGGCCCATGGTGGCTTATTTAGCAGTTACAAGCACTAAAAATAATGGAATATAAAATTTATCGAATGTATGCGTGCAACCATCTGCCCTGGCTTGTAAACAATGGCACACTAGCTGAGCTGAGGCACTCAGTTCAGACGGACAGACGGACGCGTTCAGGACGAATGACATTAGTCGAGTTTTTCATCATTGGTTGGGCCAAAAATTTTACGCTAAAACACTTTAGTCGATTTTATCATTAGATGATGCCTTCGTTGGTTGAAGGTCCACTGCATAAATGGTGTGTATGATGACTGTGCTTGGACTTCTAAAATTACAGGCAAAATCCACTGGGTAAATTGTACTTTTAACTCCTTAATTTTCAATGTTTATTGTAGTATATCTGTAAATTGTGTGTTCAGTACTATATAAGGTATACAGAAGAGCACTTTACTACATTTTTCAACATTATTTCAATATAATGGACACCTCATATTAGTCCATTATATCAAGGGTTTACTGTACCTTATTGCAAGCAGCTGATTTTCTTTTTTTTTTGAGAGCAAGAATTACTCTGATTTATAATGTTACTCCAAATTTATTATATGTAAAAAAATTCACACAATGTTTTGTCATTTCTATTTAATAAAGAAGCCATTTACTTCATTATCCTTGTATCATAATTTCATCCATATTATACATGGATAATGTCATGATACAGTGAGATAATTATAATATACAGCATATACAAGTGTATATATACATAAATATTTGTATATATGAAACATTTCTATATCATTACAGAAAAAATTTGTTCTGAAGCAAATAAAAATATATATAGTTATTTATAATTTTAAATGTGTGTATCCCCTAAACCAAATTGTTAAATATATATACTATATCCCTTAAAATCAAATTAATGTAAATTTTGCAATATGGCTATCTGAATTACTGTATGATATTGTTATTGGTTAAACTCATTTATTACATGTTTAATGCATTGTATTTTAGCATCATAAATGATTCTCAGCACACAAGTGTAAGACCAAAATAAAATGACAAAAAGAGATCTTTTGTTAAATCTAACAGAAGTTATAATAATGTATAGAAAAAATTCACATACGCAATATAAGTACCATATAGACTGATGTTGCAGTCACCCACCTAGCTGATAGAGAAATAATAATATACAAGTGCAAAAACAATGTACACAAATTTACAAATACCATTTATAACAAGCACACATGCTTATTTATGAATGGTAAAAATAAATACCTAATACAACATCTAATGATTGGCAATTCTTGTAACTTCTTTGATTACCAGCAGCATTAGCTTAAAGAGTTTTATTAATGAATAGTTAACTTAAAGCCATATATATAGCTATGGTAACCTAGATTTTCTCACAATCTACACAGGAATTTCAAATTTAACGTCAATATTTGCAGATTTTGCTAAGGTAATAATGTTTGAAAGTTTGACTACCATCTTTGCAGCATCATCAAGATTGTCACAGGGAAGCATTCTGAGGTTGGACATAGCCATAAGTGCTTTTGCATCATCTACATTGGTGCCCTGAAATAAAAACAAATACATAAGAACGAAGGAACACTGCAGAAGGCCTACTGGCCCATGCGAGGCAGGTCCAAGTCTCCTACCGGCTTAAGCCAATGCACCCAACCTAGTCAGGTCAGGTCACATTGACTTAAGGGAGGAACACGGCAACCGACCTGGTAGCACAAGCTATCAGGTCCAACTCACACCCACCCACATCACTCATGTATTTATCCAACCTATTTTTAAAGCTACACAACGTTTTGGCTTCTATAACTGTACTCGGGAGTTTGTTCCACTCATCCACAACTCTATTACCAAACCAGTACTTTCCTATATCCTTCCTGAATCTGAATTTTTCCAACTTAAAACCATTGCTGCGAGTCCTGTCTAGGCTAGATATTTTCAGCACACTATTTACATCCCCTTTATTTATTCCTGTCTTCCATTTATACACCTCAATCATATCCCCCCTAATTCTACGTCTTTCTAGAGAGTGTAGATTCAGGGCCTTTAGTCTATCCTCATAGGGAAGGTTTCTGATACATGGGATCAACTTTGTCATCCTCCTTTGTACATTTTCCAGAGAATTTATATCCATCCTGTAATACGGTGACCAAAACTGTGCAGCATAATCTAAATGAGGCCTAACCAAGGATGTATAGAGTTGAAGAACAACCTGAGGACTCCTATTATTTATGCTTCTTGATATGAATCCAAGGATTCTATTAGCTTTATTGTGAACACTTATGCACTGTTGTCTTGGTTTCAGATTACTGCTAACCAGAACTCCTAAATCTTTTTCGCAATCCGTAATATTAAGATCTACATTATTTAGTTTATATGTGGCATGGTTATTGTCCTGTCCAACATTTAGAACTTTGCATTTGTCTATATTAAACTGCATCTGCCACTTCTCCGACCACTGCATCAGTCTATTCAAATCTTCCTGGAGTGCTCGAATGTCCTCGTCAGAATGAATTCGACGGCCTATTTTGGTGTCATCGGCAAACTTGCCGATGTCGCTCTTTATGCCCTCATCTATGTCGTTTATGTAGATTGTGAACAGCAGGGGGCCCAACACTGACCCCTGTGGAACACCGCTCGGAACGATTCCCCACTCTGATTTCTCCCCATTTATGCAAACTCTCTGCTGCCTATTTGTCAACCATGCCTCTATCCAGGAAAAAATTTCTCCTCCTATTCCATGTACTTTAATTTTCCTCAATAGTCTCTGATGTGGGACCCTGTCAAAAGCCTTACTGAAGTCCATATACACAATATCATATTCATTACCATGATCTACCTCCTCAAATACCTTAGTGAAAAAAGTTAATAAATTCGTAAGGCAGAAACGCCCTTTTGTAAAACCATGCTGAGATTCGTTGATTAATTTATGCTTTTCAAGGTGGCTACGAACTGCCTCGGCAATTATTGATTCCATAAATTTTCCCACTATGGAGGTTAGGCTTATTGGTCTATAGTTCGGAGCTAAGGACCTGTCACCTATTTTGAAAATAGGTATCACATTTGCCATTTTCCACTTATCTGGCACCATGCCAGTTTGTAGTGATATGTTGAAAAGATTAGCCAAAGGTGTGCTAAGCTCCTCTTTACATTCCTTTAGAACCCTTGCATACAGTTCATCAGGGCCTGGGGATTTGTTAGGTTTTAATTTATCTATTTGCCTAAGGACCATGTCACTTGTGACCCTAATCGTGCACAGTTTATTATCGTCCTGTTTTACATAATTTATCATTACTGGAATATCGCTGGTATCCTCCTGTGTAAAAACTGAGAGGAAGTATGTGTTAAAAATTCTACACATTTCCTTATCACTGTCAGTGAGCTGACCCGAGGAACTTTTGAGTGGGCCTATCTTGTCCCTGATCTTACTTCTGTATACCTGAAAGAATCCTTTTGGGTTAGTCTTCGATTCTCTTGCAACTTTAACCTCATAATCTCTTTTTGCTTTTCTAATTCCCTTTTTTTATTTCTCTCTTTAACTGAATATATCGATTTCTTAATTGCCCCCCTCTCTTTTGATTTGCCTATATATGCCTCTCTTTTGACCAATCAGATATTTTAATCTATTGTTCATCCATTTAGGATCATTTTTGTTTGATCTGATTTCCCTATTTGGAACATAATTTGACTGAGCAGCTAGAACTATGCCCTGGAAAGCATCATATCGGCAACCATCACCACCTACCTGACCCTTAGTCAGGTCATTCCAGTTCAGCCCACCTAAGTAATTTTTCAGTCCTATGAAATCAGCCAAGCGAAAGTCAGGGACGGAGACTTGATTGCCGTTATTAGGGAAATTCCATGATATATTAAAACTGAGTGATTTGTGATCACTTTCCCCAAGCTCATCATTAACCTCAAGATTATTAATTAGTGTTTCCCTACTGGCAAGAACCAAGTCAAGGAGGTTATTTCCCCTAGTAGGCTCTGTCACAAACTGTTTTAAAAAACAATCCTGGATCGTATCAAGAAAGTCACCTGACTCTAAATTTCCTGTCAAATTGCTCCAGTCAATCTGTCTATAGTTGAAATCTCCCATTAGCACAACATTTTCGTATGTAGATGCCTTACGAATTTCGTCCCATAGAAGTTTACTGCACTCCCTATCAAGATTTGGGGCCCTGTAAATCACACCCAAAATTAGTTTTTCTCGGCCCTCGAGAAGCTGTAACCAAACAGATTCAGTGGCTGACGCTTCTAATTTAATATCTTGTCTAACACAACAATTTAAATTGTCTCTGACATACATGGTGATGATAAATAACCTGAAATAAATTTTAAATTATAGAAACTACAAAATATAAAACTCTTCAAACTGGAAAGTGTCTAATGTGTATATTCAGTGAAAACACATGAGTACAACACACTTGTACCAGGTTGAATGAAAGAAGTTATGGCCTTAGTTGGGTGACCTACCTTTGTGATTTATAATAAAAAATATGTACAGTACATTTCTCTCTCAAACACACAGATGAACCTCTACATTTGCTGATATATGAATCAAGCAATCAGTCAACACATGATGAAGGCAATGTTAATTACAAATGAAAACTGTCCATCTTGGATTTGGTGTTTACAAAAGGAAAAAAAATCTGGCTCGAATCTAAATGGAAAAAAAAAAAAAGAGTATAAACTACTGCACATAACATTATGACAATTATTACATTCTAAAAAAGTGCCACCTGAATGGGTCATTCTGCTGGAATGAGATATATAAAATAAATATTAATAAAATAGACCAGACCACACAGAAAAAATGTAGTAGAATGCATAATTACAAACACCCCGTTTTAATCAGATATGCAGTCTCAAACTAGGGATGGGATGATACCAAATGTTTTGCCAATACTAATATTCAATTTTAGGCCAATACCATTTTTTTTTTTTTTAACAAGTCGGCCATCTCCCACCGAGGCAGGGTGACCCAAAAAGAAAATACTTTCATCATTCAACACTTTCACCTCACTCACACATAATCACTGTTTTTGCAGAGGTGCTCAGAACACAACAGTTTAGAAGCATATACGTATAAAGATACACAACATATCCCTCCAAACTGCTAATATCCTTAATCCCTCCTTTAGAGTGCAGGCATTGTACTTCCTATTTCCAGGACTCAAGTCTGGCTATACAAAAATAACCAATACCATTATCATCAAAATTAGCCAATGCCATTACTGTCAGAATTAGCCAATACTCACTATCTGATATTCCATTACAGGCTCAGACTGAGACCATCAAAATTAAGCGATATCCACTGATACCAATATTTTGGCACACTCCTACTCAAAACATATCCTGTATACAGTATAATTTGTTAATTTAATTAACAACATACAGTACAGCACTCATATGAACTTGTTTCCACTCCTCCCTATCTATCCCTTTTCATCCCACTTTCTTCTTTCCCATTTCCTCTCCTTTATCCATTTCCTAACCTCCCTCTTGTCCTTTCTCGAAACCATCTTTGGTGGTGTTTTGTTAGTTGTTGGTGGGGTTTTGGGGGGGGGGTGTGCATTTCCTAACTCTCATTCTCATCACCCCCCATCATTATCCACAACTCTTTAATGCATTTTTTCACGCCTTTTCCTCATTATAGCTGTGTGGGGTGCAGAAAACTGTGTGAGAAGTGTAGGCTCAGGCAACAGCAAAACTGCCTTCCACTCTCCCAACCCCTCCCTCTTAGTGAATAGAACACTCCTTTACATACTATGTATATGTTTTCCACCGGCTCACTGGGCGTGGTGAGGTTTTAGTGCCTGTCATACTGAGTGGGAAGTACACAGAAAAGGTAAATACTGTGGTTCTACATATAAAAGGGTAAGTTTTAATAATTGATCATCTTCCATACAAATGCAAGGCCATCTCAACAATACATACATGAAAGATATGCACAAAAACTCAATGCCACATGGAGAAAATTTATAATTCATTTTTGACATAATTTTAATTATAAACCCTAACAATTCTCTAACCAAGGTCCACTCCTAGCAAATATGACAGTCCGCATACATGCTTAAAAATAAATATCACAAAATGAACACACTGTACAGTTTCTGTACATTTGATGAAAATTTAATTGCTTTCACGTTAGCCATCGAAAAATCATTATTAAATCTACAGTTCTTGACCAATGTCTACCAAACAAATACATACAAGTTCTGCTGCAGCACATGAACGAATTGATTCTGCAAAGAACATTAAAGCATTTGGCGAAAAAAAAGAAAAAATGTAAAACGGCTTCAACAAACATTTTCAATTGAAAGTTAAAAGACACTTTTACAACATACTGTTATCTTATTGTAAACGTTTTGCCATCCCGTGGTTTTATCAATACAAATTCTTGGACATAATTAGAAAACAGAAGAACTATATACAAAAGATGAGGTAATCAGTCCCTCACCTTTGTATATAGTTCTTCATTTCTATTTAATTCCTAGAATGGTGGAGTAATTGATAAAGCCTCTGATGGCGAAACGTTTACAATAAAGAAT